ATTAATAAGATCAGCCCAAATATTATTAAAATAATATAATATAATTAAAAAATATAATAATATTTGTATATGACTTTAAAGAATAATATTCAAGTATTATAAATAATTAATTCAACTAATTTTCTTAATATTTCAGATTAATTATAGAGCTCTTACAATTAATAAGTAGATGAGGTGTCCGTAACATGTTAACCTTTCTACTTAATACGTTCATCTTCAAATTTTATGGCCTGAATTTTTGTTTTCCCCACTGAAAATGCTTAGTAACATGTTAAAATACCAACTCCCTAACATGTTTGGTGACTAGCTTTAAAATATTTAAACTTTGATCATACTAAAACTGGTGATTACATGGGATTCAACTTTATTCTTATTTCATTACATTCGATGGACCTTCTCTTTTTTAAAATTTAACGCCCTTGCAACCCAAGAAAAGAAATCTCGAAGAGTTATATATGATAGCAGACCTAACTGCGTGATCACTTACATCACCAGTTCCACTAATTTGACTGAAATTTGGACCTTTATTTAGAATCAAAGGCAAAGACAAAAACAGCCGCCCAGTGGGTCCCACCACATCCTGGGCAGGTGGAGAAGCTTCTGAAGCTAAAAGACAAACTTTCCGACATGTAATGATAGCATAACAAGTATTCTGTAGAAGCCCATCAAATCTAGAAAGGCTTCAAACCCAGAAATCAACAAAGTTACAAACGTCAATCCAAGTCTTCAACGATCTCAAGGCTTTGTTTCCAAATTTTCATGGAGAAAACAACACACATAGCCGTTGTTCCCAGCCCTGGATTTAGCCATCTGATTGCTCTTCTTGAGTTCTCCAAGCGACTTGTTCATCTTCACCCAGATTTTCACGTCACATTCATCATCCCCTCACTGGAATCTCCTCCTTCTGCCTCCATAGTCTACCTTCAAAATCTTCCGTCAAATATCCAATCCATTTTTCTTCCTCCTATCTCCAAACAAGACGTACCCAAAGATGCCAATATAGCATTCCAAATTCAACTCACAGTGGCCAAATCTTTGCCATCCTTACAACACGAATTGAAGTCGTTGAATGCGGAATTTCATTTGGCTGCTATAGTTGCAGACCCTTTTGCGATTGAGGTGCTAAGTTTCGCAAAGGAACTGAACACTTCGTCTTTCATTTACTCATATTCAGCTGCTTCAACGCTTTCCTTCTACCTCTATCTCCCAACTCTCCACGACGAGATATCTGGGGAGTTCGGAGACGTACCAGATCCTATCCAAATTCCAGGTTGTGTCCCACTCTATGGTGGAGATTTCCCTGACCCGGTTCAAAATCGGTCCAGTGAAGCTTACACGATGTTTCTCCAACAAAGCAAGACATTGTTGTCTGTTGATGGGATATTGGTTAACAGCTTCACCGAGATGGAAGAAAGGGCTGTAAGAGCCTTGAAACAGAAAGGAAATGGTTATCCACATGTGTATCTGATGGGACCCATCACTCAAACTGGGTCTAATTGTGAAGAAAACGGGTCAGAGTGCTTGAAGTGATTGGAGAATCAACCACCTAGCTCTGTTTTATATGTTTCTTTTGGAAGTGGTGGGACCCTATCTCAAGACCAAATCAATGAGCTAGCTTTTGGCCTGGAACATAGTGGCAAGAAATTCTTGTGGGTTCTTAGAGTACCAAGTAACTTGGTGAATGCTGCTTACCTTGGTTCTACAAATGAGAATCCTCTTGATTTCTTACCAGAAGGTTTCTTGGAGAGAACCAGAGAGCAAGGTTTTGTCATTCCTTCTTGGGCACCTCAAGTTTCTATCCTTAGTCATGGTTCAATTGGTGGCTTCTTGAGTCATTGTGGTTGGAACTCCACACTTGAGAGTGTCCAAAAGGGAGTGCCATTAATAGCGTGGCCACTATTTGCAGAGCAGAAAATGAATGCTGCTTTGTTAACTGATGGTCTTAGGGTGGCATTGAGGCCTAAAGTGAATGAAAATGGCATAGTGGAAAGGGAAGAGATTGCTAAATTGGTGGAGAGTTTGATGGAAGGCGAAGAAGGTAAGGAGATTCGCAAGAGAATGAAGGATTTAAGAGGTGCTTCTGCTAATGCACTCAAAGAAGATGGTTCTTCTACAAATACGCTATCTGAAGTTGCACTCAAATGGATAAATAATTTATATGAGATACATAAAAAGGTTTTGAATTTGTGAATGCTCTTTTTTCTATTGGTAGTTCTGGTACTTGTACGTTCATCTATTTTGATTTGTCAAAGTAAATTGGCTTCCTCTATTGAAAATGAATAAATATTTCCTGCGCTTGTGTTTCACTTTTATGGGTGTATGTTTGTAATGATTGATTTGTTCTGATGCTATATTTATATGTTCCGACAATGCTGTACAGCAGCAAAAAGCTATTTTTAACATCAATCAAATGTCATATTTTGCACCAGTAAATATTTCATTTATTCTTTTTTTTTAATTTTATATACTCTTCTGATTCTAAATATAAGACTCTTATACTGATATATATAAAGGTTTTATATTTAGGATCGGAGGAGTATCTTTTATTTTCTTGTTATTTTTCTGTACTATAATTAGGCTTCGAAATATAAATGTTTAATGAAAAAAATTTAATGAAAGAAAAGTTAAGACAAAGAAATATCCAAGTGAGAAAAGGAGGAAGAAGAAGACGATGGTGAACGAGACGACAAACAGATTACTTCATTGTTGAAGTGGTTTCTCTAATTAATCATCATCATTCATCTCCAATAACAAGAAAGCATAGAAGTTCAGCTCATATATTCAGGTGAATACTATCCTCTGGAATTTTAAATTATAATATACTATCATGTGTTCAAAGTGCTAAAATACAATAAAATACCATTATTAATCATTTAAATTAAAACTACCTCTTAATGGAAACTTTAACACGTGTAATTATATTAGGAAATACTTGAAGGCAAAATGGATAAGTATTAAAAACAAAGTTGTTTGAGTGGGGGCCTTATATATATATATATATATATATTGTTTAGGACCAAATTAAATCTTCAATTAGTTTTTAAGGACTTGAGGCATAACTACCTCCCGTCCTAAATATGAGAACTAGCTAGTTTATAGTGCAAATTACACTACAAACTAGTTTTTATATTTAGAACCAAAGGTAGTATAACTTAAAATGGAGAATATATTGTATTCATTTTCCAAAATTAAATCTTCAAATGAAAATTTGTAAATCAATATAATAGAGTTAAGTTTTAAAAACCAACTTACAGTGATTGCAATGACAAATGAGGGTGCATGCATTAGCAAATCATCTAATATGAAAAAAACTATAACTATAGGCTACATATCATATTTTTATTATCACGAAAATGATCAGTTAATGTGAACAAGTAAGGGTTATTTTAATAACAAGAAAATGCACTTGCAATGGAAAAGGCACTTTATATCATAATCTGTGCTTATTCAATCGTTAATATAAGATCTAATTAACTAATTTGAGTAGATTAATTATGTTATTTAAATTAGTTAGTATAATATGTTTTTTCTAAAACATCCTAAAATCTTTCTTAATTCGCTCCCTTTTCTCCTACTTAACTATTGTTGGGAAAATATCAATTGGATTAATTTAGAAAAAAATGATAAATATGTAAACAAAATCTTACATATAGGACCAATATTAGTTTCTCAATTAGGTTATACATTAAGAACAGAAAAAATAATAAAATAAATTCTTGCAAGTCTTGATAGTATGGCCAGCTTCATACATCTTCACAAATATAAGCTTTTTTTGTTTTAATTTCAAGCTAATTGTGAATTTGACAATAATTTGGCGCTTTCCTTTCCAACAATTGATCTAATGTTATTGTTCTCATACTACTCCCAATATATCATATATTAGCTTCTATATCGTTTAGAGATTGACCCCCTATATCAAAGAAATATAATAGATGCTTTCTAAAATGTGTTGCTCATCCTTAATGTCAACCTATACGCACTACATACTTATTATTAACAGCTAAACTAACTTCTTTAACAACCATGCGATATGCGGTATATGTAAACAACTAATGTGCATCATATACTTGCTATTAAACTAAACTAGCTGATGTGAAGAAGAGAGGGAAGGGAGGGATGGATTAAGAACTAGTTTCGGTACTCATCACTTTGATGAGCATCTTAAACTCATTAGATCTGGACTGTTTATATTTGATTTAAATGGTCTAGATTTAAAATCTTTAATTAATTATTTTTAAATACAGAAAACTATTTTTTGAAAGAATGATAGTTAAGAGATCATCACTATTTTAGATTCTATACATATTAAAATAATTATTTTGAATAAATAAAAATAAAAAAATTAAATTTGAACCATCCAAATGAGATATGAATAGTTCAGATCTGATGAGCTTAGAGTACTCATCAAAGGAATGAGCACTGAAATTGATTCCGACGGATTATGGGGATTTGTTCCTCCTCCTTTTCGATGCAGAACATGTTTTTCAAGTGTCCTCCATGTGCTATGCGTTAGGTTAAATGTGGGCTACGGTTAGAATATGAGTGGCCTTAAGTGAGTGAGGATCAACCCAATTGATAATGCGCACCTAAACTATTGGGTGATTCAAGGCCTAGGCTTAGTCTAGCCCATGATGAAACCACTAAAGCGCACACTTATGTGACCTCTTCTCATATAAAAACAAAACCTACACTACCCCGACGCGGGTTTGATAGAATAATTAAAAAAAAAAAAAGTTTTTCATAACATGATGAGTTAAAATTTAAATGCTTGCTATTCACCAAAAAAAAAAATAAATTAAATGCTTGCTGAGGTGCTTAGATTGTGTTCAATAATGCCTCGAACTAGATCTTCTCTAACAGGAGATTTAGTAATTTTAAGTTCTTTGTTGTAGGATTCTCCCTTTTCCAAACTATCCTTCCATGTAATTAAATATGCATTTTAGCTCCTAATTACGCCCAAACAAATATGAATAAGACCCCAAATAAAGTACAAAATAATATATAAAATAGGGATTTATCACTAGCTATATTAATAACCACCGTGACATATATTAACTAGTATCAACTTCCACAATACACTTGTTATTAACATTTAAACTTATTATATTAACAATTGTAAGACGGGTACTTTTAACAGAGGAAGCCAATTTAATTTACAAAGAAAAGTTTATAAACCAGTACAAAATCTAATAAACTAAGTAAACAGGCATAGGATTTTATTGTACCCCATTTAAAGTTTTCCATCTGAGTGCCACTTGAGATAGTGTCGTTGTAGAAGAACCATCTTCTTTTACTGCATTCGCAGCAGCAATTTTTAAATCTTTCATTCTCTTGCGAATCGCTTCACTCTTTTCGCCTTCCATCAAACTCTCAACCAATTTAGCAATCTCCTCCCTCTCTACTATGCCATTTTCATTCACTTTAGGCCTCAAAGCAACCTTAAGACCATCAGTTAACAAAACAGCATTCATTTTTTGCTCTGCATAAAGTGGCCACGCTATTATTGGCACACCCTTCTGTACGCTCTCAAGAATTGAGTTCCAGCCACAGTGACACAAGAACCCACCAATGGAACTATGGCTAAGGATTGAAATCTGAGGTGCCCATGAGGGAATAACAAAACCTTGCTGTTTGGTTCTCTCAAAGAAGCCTTCTGGTAAGAAATCTAAAGGATTCTGATTTGTAGAACCAAGGTAAGCAGCATTCACCGACTTACTTGGTGCTCTAAGAACCCATAAGAACCTCTGGCCACTCAGTTCCAAGCCAAAAGCCAACTCGTTGATTTGTTCTTGAGATAAGGTCCCACCACTTCCAAAAGAAACATATAGAACAGAGTTAGGTGGCTGATTCTCCAACCACTTTAGGCACTCTGACCCGTTTTCTTCACTGTCTGACCCGGCTCGAGTGATGGGTCCGACCGGATAGACGGGTGGATAACTGCTTTCTTTCTGTGTGAAGGTTCTTATAGCAACTTCTTCCATCTCCTTGAAGCTGTTAACCAATAGCCCATCAACAGTAGATAACCATCTCTTGCTTCGTTGGAGAAACATTTTGTAATATTCATTGGATCGATTTTCAACCGGGTCTGGGAGATCGCTACCTTGAAGTGGGAGACAACCTGGGATCTGGATAGGTTCTGGTACGTCTCTGAACTCACCAGAAATCTCTTCGTGGAGGGTTGGGAGATAGAGGCAGAAGGAAAGCATTGAAGCATTCGAGGGGTAGTAAAGAAAAGACAAAGCATTGAGCTCCTTTGCGAAACCTAGTACCTCGGATGCAAAAGAGTCTGAAACTATGGCAGCCAACGGAGATCTGGAATTCAAGGACTTCAACTCATTCCATAAAGATGGCAAAGATTTGGTCACTGTGACTTGAATTTGTATTGCTAGGTGCGAATCTTGTGGCAGGTCTTGTTTGGAGATAGGAGGAAGAAAAATGGATTGGATGTTTGAAGGAAGATTTTGAAGGTAGGCTATGGAGGAAGGAGGAGGAGATTCTAGCGAGGGGATGATGAATGTGACATGAAAATCTCGGTGAAGATGAACAAGTCGCTTGGAGAATTCAAGAATAGGAATCAGATGGCTAAAACCTGGACTGGGAACAACGGCTATATGGGTTGTTTTCTCCATGGAATCTTCAAAACAAGGCCTTATTGAAAGTTGAAAGTTGAAATCGAAGCTCGTAAATTTGGGGACTTCTGAGTTCAAGTCTTGAGGTGTTGATGGCCCATGCAGTAGAAGAGATATCTTATGAAATTAAACTAAAATATATGTTTGAATCTTTAATTTGATTTGTACAAGGTTTTAATTTAATTTCTTATCTTTAAAAAATATATTTTTAGTTTTTTAATTTTAAAATTAAAAAAAATAATGATACGAAGATCTTAAATATTAATAAAAAAATTTAAATACTAAAATATTAAATTTAATTTTTTAAAAATTTATAATTATTATAAAAGATTATCATTAAAACTTAAGAATTTTATGGTTAAAAGATTACATGTATGATTTTTAAAATTAAAAAAAACAAATTAAAATATTATAAAATCACTTTTTCTTTTAGCCTTGGAGAATTCTCCACCGCATATCTTTGATAGGGTGTATTAATTCCCAATGTGTTTTTTTCTTGGCAACCCCATCGTGTTGTTGCCTGTCATTTCATTTTCATGAGAAAATGAAATGACAGGTGACCCATTATTTTGTATCTTTTTCAAAAAAATAAATATTGAGAAAATCACCAAAAAATTATAAATAAAACCCATTATAACTTTAATATTAATTTTGGTAATAATTGATAAGTAAATAATAAATTTTTTATAATCAAGTTCTTGTATGCAATTTTCTAAATAAAAGTAAAAATTATAAAAAAAATCATAAAAAAGAACTGTGGAATTTGAAAAATTATAAATAAAGTCCAGTGATAATATTATTATGGGTTTCAATAATTATAGTATAGGGTTTGGTAATAATTTTTATAAATAAGTTCTCATCTGTGATTTTTCAAATTTTATGATTTTTTCAAAATTATATAACCACCTAAGTATGAAGTTTTGGTGAAAATAACTTTTAGTGTACTATAAAGTTTTGAGTTTGAGTTTATAGGAATGAAAAAAAAAAACTATTTGAGATCTTTTTTAGACTTGATAAAGAGGCATGTAAAAAATAGTTAGTATAAAAACAAAAAATCACATGAATCGTTTTTAATTTAGAAATTCTTAGCACAGCAAAAAGAACCTAATCCACCTTATAATATAAAATAAAAAGATGAAAGTCAAAAAGCTATCTTGTTCTAAAAAATACAAGCCAGTGTATTTTAAAGAAATACAAACCTTTTTTTTTTTTTTAAAATCCTTTTCTCCACCTCGTCCGAGCCGCCTCCGCTTTTCAACTGCACCCCCCTTTTTTTTTTTTTTTTAACTACATGGTTGATATCTTTCCACGTCTTATTCTTAACAACGGCCACAAAAAATCACTGATCACTCATCACGGTGGCGATCATAACGATGTAAAATCTTCAAATTTATTACGTTGAATAGCACGGACATCCCCTCAAAAATGTTGTGAAAAATCTATTTTTAATCGACATCCAAGGGCTTTCCTACTATAATAGTATTTGCTTCAATTATTTGATGGTTGTTTGAATGTTTTCAAACAATAGTCAAATTGTTATAAATTTATGAAATTTTAATAATTACAACAATTTGATGATTGCTTCTATGTAACCGTTAAATATTGTCCTATATTTAATTTACAGTTAATATAATAACCGTCAAATAAATAATTATTTGACCTTTGCTTCGGGTTACTTGAGGCTTTTTTTTTTTATAACCAATAAGTATGAAGTGTCAAATATGACAATTTCTTTAGCAGTTATAATTAATAATTAAAAACATTAAATTGCAAGATAAAAATAAAAACAACTATATTTTTAATATTGATTAGTAAAATGATCTATATTATTACTCCAACATATCTTACTTTTGTTAATAATTAAAATAATCGTTTTATTATTATTTTTATATAAAAGCCTGTATCATATATAGTCGTCGTTTCCTCTTCCTTATTTTCTTTTTTGAATGATTTGTTTTTTTGAACAAATATCTTCCTTATTTTCCAACTCCCATAATCTTCTTGTGTTTATTTAATGAAATATAAATATTACTATCTCCATTCTCCGGTACTTAATATAAAATTCAATTTAATTTTTAATTTGATTTTAAATATAACACTTCAATTTACTTTATTTTCTTATATTTATTTACTTTTCTAAAATAATTTTTATAATAATTACATATATTAAATATTTTATCAAATGATATTTCTAAATAATACACATTATTATAAAAATTTTTTAAAAAAATTAGTAAAAATAATTAACTTAACAAAATTTTGAACATATTAAAATTAATTAGTCGGGTCTTATATCAATGAGTTAAAAAAGTATTTTTCTTTTCGAAATCACCGAACGCCAATATTGTTTTGGCAAAAAAAAAAAAAAAAAGAAACACCAATATTGTTCATTTTAAAAAAAAATCTGAAATCTGAAATGATTACAAAATAGGTTAATGATTGAGAACAGGCGGCATCTTTGCAGAGGAGCACGTGATATTGTACGAATAGTAATAATAACATTACTGGGGGGTGTCTGAACAAAAAGTCACGTACGTTTGTTAAAATATTTTTTCTTTTTATAATTTGAAATATCAGCTCAATATCCATCAAGAAAAGCTTTTTAAACCAAGACGTTTTACTTCATATTTAGGGTGTGTTTGGATGAAACCAAACCGTGATTTGAAAAAGTGATTTTGGAGAATAAATTCTGAGAAGAATAAATTCTGAAAGAATAGATTTTATGAAAAAGTGATTTTGAAAAGTGAGAGTATTTGGATAGTTGTTAGCAGAAGCACTTTTTATATATACAAATTATTAAAAAAAGACATAAGTTAATATGATAATTACAGAAAAAATAGATTTTATGATATATTTTAATTTGAAGGAATAAATTGTTCATAATATATTTTTTATTAACAAAATTAATAATACATAAGATAATATAATTAATAAATAATTAATATGTATATATATTTGTAAAATATAACATTAAATATGTTTATAAAAAAATATGTTTATAAAAAAAATAACAAGATATATATCATATAGGCTCTCACACTTTTCCTTTTTTCTCCAAAAGCAAAAAAATTTTCTTTTTTCAAAACTATGGTTTTGACCCAAAACTATGGTTTTGGTTTTTGGATAGGTGTTTGGGTGATTTATTCCCCAAACTATAGTTTGGGGCCTCACCCAAACACAGCCTTAATAAGTTGTCTAGATCTTATTGTTGAAGATATAATAATGATTTTGCTTATTATGAACCGTCTGTAAGTAATTCGATAAAAATGAGTATGTATCAATGCATGGACCTTGACCAGTCAGTAGAATTCAATTTGCTTAAACTTATTTTTATGTATAAAAAAGAAAGTAAATAAAAGGTGGTCAGCTTTTTCACTTACTGAAAATTAAAACGTCGGATTAATCTCAACTTATTTAATTTGAGAAAAAGACAACAAGACCACGTGAAACTTTTCAGTGGAAGGGGACCATTTCCCGTCAAGCCATATGCTTTTATTACACAGTACATTTTATTTACCCACATGGCAAAATGTCTTGTCATCTTGAATAAATAGGATTCGATTTTTTGAAGGAAAGCAGCCACACACATTTAATGTTCCAACGGTCTTTTTTTAAGCAAAATATTTTAAAATAAATTTATAACTAAATTTTTTTTCTTCTTCTGATGAAACTAGACTTTATTTTAGGATATACTGGCACATGATTCTGCAGTGTTTCTTTTTTTTCTTGCTAGATTAGGGAGTGCAATATTTTTTTTGACAAATTAATAAAATAACTCTCATTATTTTACAATAAAGTGTGTGTATATATTTTTTGTAGTCGTTAAAAACATGAAATAAATCATATAAATAAAAGTTTCAGTGTATATCATTGCAACTACTAATAAGAATGAGTTGTGCCAACCGCTACGTGAACCACTAGTTAGTCGCTTGGTCAATAGAGCGTGTACGGTTCGAGTCCACTCCCTTGTAACTTAAAAAAAAAAACAAAAACAAAACACGATAACACTGAAAGTCGAAGATGAGAGAGAAAGCGGTAAACTCAAATTGATGAAAATATTATTCTTATTCATATCATATTCAGCCCCCAGCTTAAGTATTTATATACAACTAATATAACTTAATGTTTGACAGTTGTCAACTAACAGATCTTAACAAATCTAACAAACTAACAACTCAGTTAATTATTCCCTAATACCCCCCTCAAGCTGGAGAATGTATATCTATCATTCCCAGCTTGGAAAGGAGTGTACAAAATGGAGTAGGAGCAAGTGCTTTAGTGAAGATATCAGCCAGCTGGTCTTGAGAACTGATCGGAAGAAGATGTAGCAATCCCTTTTGTAGTTTCTCACGCACTAGATGACAATCAATTTCGATATGTTTTGTTCTTTCATGAAAGGTAGGATTGGCTGCAATATGTCTAGCAGATTGACTGTCACAGTACAATAGGGCAGGTGACGTTTGAGCAAGTCCAAAATCCTTCAACAAATAAGAAAGCCATTGTAGTTCACAAGTTGTAGCTGCAAGTGCCCTGTATTCAGCCTCAGAAGAAGAACGGGATACTGTCTGTTGTTTCTTAGATCGCCAAGTTATCAATGCTTTATCCAAGAAACCACAAAAACCAGTGATGGAACGTCTAGTATCTGCACATCCAGCCCAGTCAGAGTCACTGAAAGCCTTTAAACGTAGATCAGATTGTGCAGGAAGAGAGACCCTTTCCAGGTGAAGCTTTAATATAGCGAAGAACTCTGTGAGCTGCTCGGAGATGAACATCAGTTGGACTGTGTACAAATTGACTCAATTGCTGTACTGCAAATGATATATCTGGTCTAGTATTTGTGAGATACAACAAGCGACCAACAAGTGTTCTATAGGATGAACTATCTTCCAGAGGAATTCCTGAATCTTGAGTAAGCTTGAGATCCCTATCCATAGGAGTTTTGACTGGTTTGCTATCAAGAAAACCAGCATCTAATAAAATGTCTAAGGCAAATTTGCGTTGACATAGAGAAATACCAGTAGAACTGCGAGCAATTTCAAAGCCTAGGAAGTATTTAGCATCTCCCAAGTCCTTGATCTTAAAAGAATTATCAAGATAAGCCTTAAGTCGATTAATCTCAACCAAATCAGTACCACTCAGGATTATGTCATCAACATATACCAACAGAACGGTAAAAGAAGTATCAGATTTCTTAATAAACAAAGAATGATCAGCTTGAGAATGATGATATCCACAGGACAAAAGTGCTTCAGAGAGCTTAAAAAACCATTGTCTACTGGCTTGTTTTAAGCCATAAAGGAATCTCTGTAATTTACAAACTTGAGTGGGAGAAGAAACTGATAAACCTGGTGGAGGAAGCATATATACCTCCTCATTAAGATCCCCATGTAAAAAAGCATTATTTACATCAAGTTGCTTTAAATGCCAATTATGAGCAGCAGCTAGAGCAAGTAGTAAACGAACTGTAGTGAGTTTAGCTACAGGTGAAAAAGTATCAATATAGTCAACTCCTTCAATCTGAGTATAGCCTTGTGCAACTAAACGTCCCTTGTATCTAGCTAAGCTACCATCTGAGTTATATTTCTTTGCCAAGACCCACTTACAACCTATAGGACGCTTGCCAGGAGGTAAATCAGTTAACACCCAGGTATTATTTTGCTGTAAAGCATCTAGTTCAGCTTCTATAGCTTTCCGCCAACACTCATGTTTGATAGCTTGGGCATAGGTTTTAGGTATATCATCAACAGAAATGGACAAAGCAAAATTTTTATATTTAGAAGAAAGACGATTATATGACAAGACAGAAGATAAAGGATGATAGCTACCTGCCTCCATGGAATCTGGTACAGCTGCAGTACATTGAAGGGTGTAATGATAGTCATGCAGATATGATGGTGGTCTTTTAAGTCTAGAAGAACGTCTTGGAGAAGGTAAAGAAGTAGGAACAGATGCAGAGGAATTTTCAATGGAAGTGGATGAAGTTGCTGAAGAAGTGGTATTGGTTTCTTCTGAAAATTCAAGAATGGGTAGCTCTTGTGGCAAAGGTATTGAATCAGACTGTTGTGATGATGGCATGTCACTATTGCAGAAGGGAAAAATAGATTCATAAAAGTATACATTCCTTGAGATAGAAATTTTTCGGGTGGTTAGATCCAGAGTAATAAAACCTTTGGTACCATCTTGAAATCCTAAAAAAACACATTTTTCTGCTCTTTTATCAAATTTAGTGCGATGCTGAGTAAGAGTTGAAGTAAAGCAAAGACAACCAAAAACTTTGAGGTTATTCATTTCAGGAGGTTTTTGGTGTATAATATCATACGGACTCTTATTTTTCAAAACAGGGGTAGGTAATCTATTAATGATATAAATGGCGTGAGAAATAGCATAGGACCAGTAGACTTTTGGAAGCCTAGCTTGAAATAACAAAGCTCTAGCAACATTAAGAATATGTTGATGTTTTCTTTCCACAACACTATTTTGTTCAGGAGTTTCAACACAAGAAGTCTGATGCAGTATTCCTTTGTTAGCATAAAATTCTGTCATATTAAATTCTAAACCATTATCAGTTCTAATGGTTTGAACATATGTGTGAAATTGTGTTTCAACAAGCTGAACAAAATTTTTAACATGAGAACGAACTTCAGATTTATTATGGAGGAGATAAACCCATGTATATCTTGAAAAATCATCTACTATAGTAAGAAAGTATTTATGCCCATGTACAGAAGGTATATGATAGGGTCCCCAAATATCCAAATGCAACAAACTAAAAATTTTATCAGATTTAGTATTGCTAACAGGAAAGGGCAATTTTCTTTGTTTAGCAAAATGACAGACATCACAACAATTAAAAGAAGGATTATGAGAAATGAAAGGAAACTGCTGGTGCAGAGTATGTAGTGTGGATTTGGACAAATGTCCTAAACAGAAATGCCAAAGATCAAAAGGAGTATCACAATTTGGAATAGTGCAGATGTGATTAGCAACAGAAACTGCATTTTTCTTCATGATATAAAGCCCTTCAATCATTTCAGCTGAACCAATCATCTTCCATGATGGCAGCAGATGAATTAGACACTTTAACTTCTGAAAGGAAACAAGGCAAGAAATAGAAGCTGTGAGTTTAGAAACAGAAATGAGGTTAAAACGAAATTCTGGAATATACAGAACATCATGAATTGAAAAAGAATCTGAGAATTCAATAATCCCACTATAAGTGGCTACTGTTCGTGAACCATCTGGTAGATTAACAATGATAGGAGAGATAGATTTGTATGAAGAGAATAAAGATAGAGAGAAACAAATATGGTCAGTAGCTCCTGAATCAATGATCCAATGAGCATGTGGAGAATGAATAAGAAAAGCATAGGATGTACCATTGGTAGAGATATGATTGACTGAGGATTGGGGAGATGAATGATCTGCTTGAACTAGAGCCAACAGCTTTTTGTATTGTTCTGGAGTGAAACTGTAATTTTGATTAGCGACCTTAGGTTCAGAAGAATCTTTGGATTTAGGATCACCAGATGAAATAGCATTAGCTGAACTTGTCGAACCAGCAGGAACTTGAGAATTCTTGAACTTGAATCCCGGAGGAAATCCATGTTTCTTGTAACATGTAGCTTCAGTATGACGAAATTTACCACAGTAAGTACACTGTTGCTTGTCTTTTCCTGCATTCTGAAGTCGATTATAACCAGCTTTGCTGAGTAAAGTTGTTGCTTCTGCCCCTTGAAATCCCATTTCTCTTTCCTGTTGTGCAACAAGAGAAAACACCCGATTAACATTCGGCAAAGGATCAATCAACATTATTTGCGACTTAACGGCAGAAAATCTGTCGCTCAATCCCTTCAAGAACTTAATCACATAATCTTGCTCCAAATGTTTCTTGAAAGATTCTGCAGCACCACAATTGCACTTCGGATTACATGAACAGGCTATTATAGGTCTTAAGGTCAGATACTCGTCCCACAAGATTTTCAGCTTCGTGAAATATTCACTCACAGTCAGATCCCCTTGCTTGAGACCTTGGATTTCTTCTAATAGATCTGCCAACCGGAAGACATCATTCTGTGAGAATCGATCACGGAGGTCCTCCCAAACATCTGAGGCGCGATCGATCCATAAGATGCTTTGAGCTATTGTCGGTGACAATGACCTGGTAATCCATGATAATACCATCATGTTACATCTTTCCCAGGCTGGAAAGACCGGGTCCGTAACACTAGGAATAGGAGTTGATCGATCGATGAAACGTATCTTATTTTTGGAGAGCAGAGCCATCCTCATAGCTCGTGCCCATGAGTGGTAATTAGGTCCTGAGAGAACTGGTGAAACCAAGATCAAAGATGGATTCTCATTCGGGTGTAAGTAGAAGGGGCTGGCGATATTAGAAATAGCATCTTGAAGAATAGAGGTAGAAGACGACGAGATGTTCGCCATGGAAGAAAAGACTAAGAACAAGAAGAGAGAATTAAAACGGCAGAGGAAGTAAACAAAATCAGAGTTTCTGCTCTGATACCATAACACTGAAAGTCGAAGATGAGAGAGAAAGCGGTAAACTCAAATTGATGAAAATATTATTCTTATTCATATCATATTCAGCCCCCAGCTTAAGTATTTATATACAACTAATATAACTTAATGTTTGACAGTTGTCAACTAACAGATCTTAACAAATCTAACAAACTAACAACTCAGTTAATTATTCCCTAATACACGACCACGTGAACCTTGTCAGCAAGGGGACCATTCCCTATCAAGCAACGTCCTTTTAATATGCATTTTATTTACCATACAGTAAAATCTCTCGTCATATGTAAACAGGGGCAAATTCTTGAACGAAGGCAACCACACTTCTCTATTCCTTCTCTTTCAACTCAATTTTCATAAGCAGCCATTTTCAACGTAAAGCCATCCTCATGGAGAAAACGATCACTCACATAGCCGTTGTTCCTAGTACAGCCCATAGCCATTTCTTCCCCGTTCTTGAGTTCTCCAAGCGACTTGTTCATCTTCATCCAGATCTTCATGTCACCTGCATAATTCCTTCTCTTGGCTCTCTTTCAACTTCCTCAATAACGTACCTAAATTCACTTCCTTCCAATATTCACTCTGTCTTTCTTCCTCCAATCTCCATTAATGACTTGCCACAGCAACAAGCTCCAGCATTCCTAAGCAAACTAGTTATCACTAAGTCCCTACCATCTTTACGTGAGGTCTTGAACTCTATGTGTTCCCAAACTCCTCCTTTGGCTGCTTTGGTTGCGGACACTTTAGCGTACGAAGCACTTGATCTCGCAAAGGAACTCAACATCTTGTCCTTTGTTTTTGCTCCTTGGTCTGCTACATTGTTGTCCTTCTACTTGCAATTACCGAAACTAGATGAGGATATTGTTGGTGAATTTCGAGACTGTACAAAACCTTTCAAGATTCCTGGCTGTGTTCCAATCTATGGAAAAGATTTACCAGACCCTGTTCAAGATCGATCGAGTGAAGCATACAAAATGGTTGTGCTTCGTGCTAAAACACTCTCTTCTGTGGATGGTATCATGCTTAATAGCTTTGTGGAAATGGGAGAAGGTTCAGCAAAAGCCTTGGCAAATAACACAAGTGGTAGTCCTCCTGTCTACCTGGTTGGACCCATCTCATCACAAACTGGTTCTATAGATGAGAAAGACAGGCCTGAATGTATGACTTGGTTGGAAAAGCAACCACCTAGGTCTGTCTTGTACGTTTCATTCGGAAGTGGAGGGACACTCCCCCAAGAGCAGCTCAATGAACTGGCTCTTGGGTTGGAACTAAGTGGCCAAAAGTTCTTATGGGTTGTGAGAGCCCCAAGTAGGGTTTCTAATGCTGCTTATCATGCTTCTTCTTCTTCAAATGAGAACCCTTTAGATTTCTTGCCAAAAGGCTTCTTAGAGAGAACAAAAGATCGAGGTTTTGTTGTTCCTTCATGGGCGCCTCAGATTCAAATTCTTAGTCACAGTTCAGTGGCTGGATTCTTGAGTCATTGTGGGTGGAATTCGACCCTTGAAAGTGTTGTACATGGTGTGCCACTCATAACGTGGCCACTGTTTGCAGAGCAGAAACTGAATGCTATTATTCTAAATAATGTTCTAAAAGTGGCCGTGAGGCCCAAGGTCAACGAAAAGGGAATAGTGGAAAGGGAAGAAATTAAAGAGGTGATAAAGAGATTAATGAAGGGTGAAGAAGGTAAGGATATTTACAAACAAATGAAGGATTTGAAAGAAGCTGCGGCTAATGCAATGAAAGAAGATGCTTCCTCTACAGAGACACTCTCTCAGGTTGCCCATATTTGGAGAAAGATGGGGGGCCATCAAGAAAAATAAATGCTCGTTGTTTCATTCTATATATTTTATTTGAGTTTTTTTACTCTAGCTTCTTATCTTTGTTGATCATTCCTTATTGGAAAATCAATTCTCAGTTATTTTTAGTGTTTCCTCCATGTTAGTTATTACTTATTACTAGGTTGTCCACATATTGAATCAAGGGCTAAGATGCAAAAATATCTATCAACACCATATACTTTTTTCAAGTGCAAATCTTACTATGAAAGTTCAAAATGGGTGCAAAAGAAGAAATTGCAGAAGAAAAAATATTGCAAAAAAGTCCCTAAAAATATGATAATTGCTTTGAAGTTTTAAAGGGACTTGACTGCAATAATGTCCCTAGTAATTCAAATAGAAAAAAACAGTAAAAAAAAAAAGAAAATTGTCAATATAGGCCGCGATAGTTGTCAATATAGTTGCTTCACTTGTTAATGATAATTGTGTCATGTAGGTTTACATTAAAGATGGTGAGCACGTTCGGAAAGCATCTATTATTTTTTTCCCCCTATATAAGGGGAAAGTTTATAAATGATGAAGAAGATGATATGCGATATGTTGGGGTTAGTGTGAGAATGATAAACATAAAAAGAAGGCCCAAGTTATGAAGAGTTGAAAGAAATTATATCATTAATTCTTGAAAAATAAAATAACTCCTTTGTTTTGAAAATATTTTGGATCTATCAATATTATATGTCATTATGTAACTTGAAATTATATTTTTTTCCAAAATTGTATCAGCAGATAAATTGACAAATGATAATGTAACTATTGACAAGTGACACTACAATTATAAACAAGTGATGGTGTACTTAATGACAAGTAATTTCATAATTTCATATCAATACTAATTGACTTTTAATAACAATTTTATATCACATTATAACCACGATGAATTAGTGTAGAAGAATTGATGATATCATATGTCATTATATTTATAACCTACTGTGCAAGTTGAAATCACATTTTTCAAAACTGATATTAGCAGATAGATTGACAAGTCATAGTGCAACAAGTGACAAATGAAGAAATGTGTATTGCCACTGAAGGGTGCCAATATTACAACTGAAATGACATCAAAATTTAACATACTAGTTTATAACCAACTTTCATTTACAGCTTCATATACATATAATTACACCAATTTTACAGCTCATCTAAATTTTTAAAAAAAAAAACATGCAGATTGCATGTATCCAATACTAAACTAACCAATTGGTGTGTATTGTGACATCTACAAAAAAAAAATTTCTATTTACATCCATTTACAAAAAATTCCCTTCATATGCGTTTTGAAAAAAATGGTTTTCACATATTCTCAGTTAACATTTGGGTTCTTACATATCTTTACAGTGTATCTAGCCTCAATGCATCTTCTCTTGCTACTTTTGTATGGCTATTATTTCCATTCTCTTCTATGTACATAGGTCACTTTCTTCATTGAACTTTATTAAATACTCTACCTTATCATCATCTACCAACTCCGTAACTGTATTTTTATCATATATAACTGAGAATTTCAAAACAAAGGAGTTACTTTCTTTTTCAAGAATTGATGATATAATTTCTTTCAACTATTTATAACTTGTGCCTTCTTTTATGCTTATTATTCTTACATTACCCTCCAACATATCGCATATCGTCTTCTCCATTATTTATAAACTTCCCCCTATATGGGGGAAAAAGACAAAATAGATGATGCTTTCCAAATATGCTCACCATCTTTGATGTAAACCTGCATGACAAAATTGCCATTAATAAGTGAAGCAATAATATTAATAACTATCACGGTCTATATTGACAACTATGTGGCTTACAATGATGACACTATCTTTTTAGCGATTTTTCTATTTAAATTACGAGGAACAATAAGGTCTTGTCAACTTTCCCATTTGATAAACCTCTATTATTTCTTGTTATTTTGTATCTTTTTAAGGGTTTTTATCAGCTAAAATAAGTTAATTTGCATTTATTACTACTATTTTCAATTAATGAATGATTTTATTAAAATAGAGCAAAAAGGGTATTTTCGTTATATTCTTATGTTTGCTCTTAATTAATAAATTTCGGGACTTTTGATATTACACTTTGTTAAATTATTTTGTAGGTTATTTTGGGAAATTTGGAAAAAGAAAAAAAAGAATTGGACAGAAGGACCTGAGATTTCAAAATTGCTGTGAATGACCTATGGACAATGAAACTCATCATTTTGAATATGGGAGCATTAGGGCATTTAATTATCAAATTGAAGGATGCTGGGAGGGGAGAAGCCGCAACATTTACAGCCTTTGACTTCTTCTTCTTTAATAAAAGTCCAGCAAGCTCCACACGTTCCCTTTTCCATCAATGTCGAGACTCCACCTCCCTTGTCCTCCATTGTCAACGCCGACATTGATACTTCCGTCCTCCATCTCCACCATCAACGTTCTCTCCTCCCACTATAAACACCATCTGCGTCTTCCTTCTTCTCTCTTCCTCCAGCTCAACTTTCTACTTCTAGCTTCATGGATTATGGGTGTTTCAGATGAGTTGTGACTGGGTTCAGAGCTATGAAAGGCTAAGTTCATTGTGCTCTTTGGGACTGAATATATAATGGCTTGAGTTTGGGATTAACAAAAGGGAGTTTAATGTAAGAATGGCTGATCACCCAAGAGGGGGTGAATTGGGTGTTAATTAAAATTAAAAACCTTTTCGCAATGTAATAAAATTCATAAGAAATTCTGAGTATAAAAACAATGAATCGACATAAGCATAATCATAGTAGTAAAATGGTTTAGCTGAAAATATAAAAAGGTAAGGGATGAGAAGATGCAAACTATGATTTATCCTAGTTCGGTCCCCACTGACCTACATCCAGTCCCTAGGCTCCCCCTGAAATTTTCAATCGACTATCTCTCTCAAGTTTAACACGGGTACTTGAGAACCACTAAAACCACAAGTTTGATCCGGGCACTTGTGACGCCACTTACAATTCTTAGACTAACTAGTCTATTCAACAGCAACCTCACACCGAGGTAAATACTCCCCCTTACACACCGTAAGGATACAATCTAATAATGATAATGAAGATTGAATATTTCTTCTCTCAGAGAAGTGATAGATGAATCTTAAGCACGTCTGGGAAACTCTCCTCTCTATCTTACGAATACATAAGTTTTAATCTATGAAGTACAGAGACAGGGAGTTTTCTCTCGGAGCTCTAAATGACAATATGTTGATTCGGCATTTTAGCATTTGATGTTGTAAGCTCAGACTCTTCTCTTCTTTCTTGTTTTGAATGCTCTTCTATTTATAGATGATGTTGGATACTTGACCGTTGAGCATTTTCTTCCCGTTTGGCTTGAAGAATATGACCGTTGAAACTAGCCGTTGGAAGCTTTGACCAAAGTCGATTCTTCACATTATAAATTCATTGTGGCTCTTTTCCTGAAATAATCTTCCTCAAATCAAGTGATAAGTATATGATAATCTTAGAAATAATAAGTTGGAAAACCTGGAATCAATCAGTTGTTAAATGTGCTGAGTAATAACTGATCATGCTTGATCGAAGTGATGTTCGATTACTACTTGATCGAACAGGTTATCGATTATTCTGAGTGAAAGCTTTTGAAACAAATAACTAATTTATCAGTCAAGTGATGGAACAATGATTTATCGATCAAGTGATCGATAAAATGCAACAGAGACACTTATGCTAATATGTAAACCAGATAAAGATCAGAGTCACTTTTGATCATAAATCACTTAGCAAAATAATCAAGATGATCATGCATACTAAAAACAGTTTGAAAGAAAATAGATAATTGAATGTGAGAAACATCATAGCTAACTCAAATTGAACTGAAGGAGTTCCATGATCGATCAGTTGATCGAATACTTATTGATCGATCAGATTATCGATAATCCAAATATTACAGAAATGAAACTTCAGTTAATGTTGATCGAACATATTATCGATAAACTCATGATCGATAATGTTATCGATAAACACCATGTGAAAAATATTCAATGAAGAGCAGAGACTAAGTGGATTGATCAAATAGGTGATCGATAAGTGAATGTTCGATCATGTTATCGATAAAATGTGAGACAGAGACTTTATCCTGAAGCTTGTTTATCGATCATGTTATATGAAAAAGAACTATTCAGAAAGATTAGATTATCGATAATGTTATCGATAACTTGGTTAAGTAAGAGCAGATAAAATACTGATTATCGATCATGTGATCGATAATGTTATCGATCAGCAGCTATGATGAGTACCTGCATTCAGAGAGTCAGTGAGCAATGTTCGATCATATTATCGATAAATGAATGATCGATAATGTGATCGATAAATGGAGACTAAAGCAAAACATAGAATGAGTACAATGCATTACCATTTATCTGTCTTCTCATCGATAATCTATTTATCGATCATGTTATCGATAAATGCCTATTTATCCATAACGTTAACCTTATTTATCGATCAAGTGATCGATAAATACATTTATCCATAACGTTATCCGAAAACCATTTATCCAACAGGTTATAAAATCTCAATAATACATATGAAGATAAAAGAGAAGAATTGAAGAGATAGTACCAGGAACTCGATAAAGTGATCGAGTATGTAGTTGCTTGATCAGGCTCGAGTAACATCTGATAATGGCTTTTCATTTCCTCATTTCTTCTAGTGCTTTTACCCAATAACATGTTTGAGTAGCACGTTGCTCGAGAGCTTAATCAATCAATGTAGAACTTCTGGTCTTTGCCTCAATAAATTCGAATTCTGATTCAAGCAGAACGAAGGTCAACTTTGAGTGATCATAACTCTTCCAATTCAACTCCAAATTTTTCAAATGACCTATCCCCAGAAAGCTCTTTGAGTCTACTTTCTAATGCAATAGGAATCACCTCAAAAATCATTGTATTTACAAAGTTATCTTCATCACAGTGACTGAAGGTCGGAATCGAGGCGTTAATACTTACTTCAATGTTTCGAACAACATATCTCCCTCATATGAAACTCTTTGAAGTTTATTTTGGTGTCCATGAACCATGTTCTGAGTCTAGTTTCATATGAATCAAGTTTCACCTCAAACGGACTTGTGGTTTAAGAGATATTAGACAAATACCGAACCTATGTTAGAGTTGAACGAAGAACAGAGCATAATAGAGTATGTGTTTTATCGATAACTTGATCGATAAGTGGATGATCGATCAAGTG